CATAAACCAAGGCCATATTTTACATTTTTTCCTGTTATTTTAAATCATCATTTTTTAAATAGTCCCACCAGTGCCGAACAGCTGCAGAGTGGGGATGACATGGAGATGAGGGGAAGGTGATACTGACCACCGCGCTGTCTCGTGCCGCCTGAGAGAACCTGTCCCCTGTTTTTGGCTTGACAATATCTGCTTGTATTATACCTTATTATACCTTTTTATTATACCTTACCCCCCTCCATTGCTCCATTTTTTTTCTTGAAAACTTGCATTGACCCATAATTTCCAAAACGGTGAATCCTATGAATCCAATAACATCCCACGTCCGACAGGAAATGATGGGCACGCATGCTCAGCAGTATCACATGAGAACCCGGCTAGTCTTCAAATCTACTGCAATGGCGTCAATAGTCCAAAACAGTGTTTGAATCATAATGGCAGGTGACAGAAGTCCTAATCGTGACAGATCTCGTCGTCGAGAGATTCGAGACAATAACGATCAAAATCGTCGTGACAGGAATCGAGAGAGATTCGATGACAGATCGCGGAATGACCGTGGAAAAAGACGAGATCGTTCACGCAGTAGATCGCGAAATAGGGACGACGATGGGAGAGGAAAAAAATCAAAACACGAAAGTAGGGAACATAACCACAGAACGAGAGACAGAGATGATCATTCAAGAAAATTTGATTTCAGTAATTCAAAGGTAAAGAAAGAACCGTCACCAGAGTGGGGTAAACGTGTACCCAAGGAGGAGAAGGATAAAAATTCAGTTAACAAGGAGAAACCGAATTTTGGATTGTCAGGGAAGTTGACTGAGGATAGGAATTCAGTGAATGGTGTCGTTATCAAGTATTCGGAGCCTGGAGACGCAAGAAAACCCAAGAGACGATGGCGATTGTATCCGTACAAGGGCGAAAAAGAACTGCCAATTATTCATATTCACAGACAATCTGCTTATCTCATGGGGAGGGACCGAACTGTCGCGGATATTCCTCTGGATCATCCGTCGTGCTCCAAACAGCATGCTGCACTGCAGTTCAGGCTAGTGCCTTTCAAGAGGGAGGATGGGTCCACAGGGAAGTGTGTCAAACCCTATTTGATTGATCTTGAGTCTGCTAATGGTACCCTCGTAAATGATGTCAAGCTGGAGGCTAGAAGGTATCATGAGTTATTTGAGAGGGATGTCCTCAAGTTTGGATTCAGCTCGAGGGAGTATGTCCTTCTGCATGAGAACAGCAAAGATGATGCTTTGGATGATGACTTCATAGCTCCCAATGAAACTTAGGTAATGATGGATGTTTTTTTTCAACTGGTTTGGTGTATATGTCATTTTTCTGCATTTATTCAGCTTGAAAACTGTTTAAGGTAGAAGAGAAAGTTGAAATTTTGAAGAATGATCATTTCTTTTTAACGTAAAAATTTATCTGATTTGTTTCAGGAAGATATCATCGTTGCTAGGACTGAAAAGTGTAAACTAAGTGATTGAATTTTTTATTGTTATACATTGTGAACTTCTTTCATTAATGATGAGCTTCGAAGGACCTTCGTCTGTTAATATTGACTGTAATTGTGTAAATGTCATGGAAATTTTGTTGTTTCCATCAATTTCGAATATGGTAGCAGCACAAAACAATAATTGGAGAATATATGAAGTATTTAAAAAGATAATTTTCCTTAAAATGAGAGTAATTAGAACAGTAAGAGCACAATTGCGTAAGTAGAAAAAAAATACATTTTTGTTCAATTTTTGATAGTACAGAAATCTGGGACGTAATAGAATGGATACACTAGTAATTGTATTCCCCCAAAAATTGCTGATATCAAAGAATTTGTATAAAATAAAGAAGAATGATATGATTAACTGGTAAACATTTATTCTTTGGTCAACAATTATCTTCTATGTACATTACAGTAAGTTATGACCATAGAAAAAGTGAGCGCATTAGGAAGACAGATCTCCATCCACATGAAAAGAAATAAAGACAGATAAAATACTTTGCCCCTCCAAAAAATGAAGACAGTAATTCAGGCGATTCCTCTCGAATTATATACACCATTATAAAAATCTTAATCTATTTTTCATCCCAAATTTAAATATTCATACGACAAAAACCCATATATAGTACAACTCTCATGATATCAAATTTCTGTCAGTTGTTTTTACATATAAAACTTAACAAATTTATACAATTTATGATAAAAATAAATACGTTGGCTCTTAAAAAACACTATCTAAATATCCAGCCTCATTCAATAAATACCGTAGTGATTACAAGGATGAACATTGCTTGATGTCGTCATAAATGACAATGCGATAAAGGCACATTCCTCCATTCCTTTCCTTTCTTTTCCTGGATTAATTGACTCTAGTAGAATCAGTATTTACATTTGTGTACGTGACGATATTGAGAGCAGAATCATCGATACCTGAGCCCTGTCTCAACAAATTCAACAGCAATTTATTTTTGACTAATGGTATATTGGCTTTACCATTTAGCGTGTGGGTCTTGTGCAATCTTAATGTCGAATTGCTATTGATTATTGGTTCCTTAATATTATCCCTAAAGCTACTCAAGTCATTCTTCAATGTTATATTCTGTTGAGATTCTAGGACCGACGAACTCGGCCTAGTGGTGGGTAATGTTCCACGGAGGGAAGAGATTGATGAGCTGAGTGAATTACAATTCCTCTCATCAGTGGCTATTTCCGCTGCCTCATCGGTTTTGCGCCTCAATTTAGCTCTTCCATTGAATGTTGCCCTCGAATCATTTTGCAGGGCTGATATAACTAGTCTAGAGTTGCTGAGTGTGTGGCTTTTTTCAGCCACTGCAGTCAGTGATCCTATTTGCGATAATATACCTTCTAGATGTCTTCGATCATCTGGAGATATTCCAGCTATACTGGCAATTGGTATCGATCTTGGCACCTCATACTGATCTATTGAAGGCTCTCTGATATTGCCAGGAGCATCTGCTATTATCTCGAGATACTTCGGTATGTCTACCTCTGTGGATATTTGGGTGATAGTTGGTGTTGTTGAGTCCTGGAGGAAGGGCTTCATGTCACGACTGCCTTCGGAGCTACTTGACTTCCACGAGTTTCCTGGTGATAGGAAAAATTGACGTTAGATTTTGTGAATAAGGTGGAAGCCGCAGCAGAAGTATTTCATGTTAATGATTTCGAGAAATTTTTCAACCTACCTGAATTATTATGATTTTGATTCTCGTCAGCAAAGTAAGCCATGTTAGACACGCCTGCAAGCATGAGCCATGCAATAATGGCCAATTTCAGTTTGTAAAGCACAATATTATATTTCGAAGAGAGAGAGGAAATTCGTCAGAATAGAGAATTCAGTTGATTATCATCCTTTAAAAGCAATTTTTCCAGTATGAATGACGCACAAGTGAGACTTCAATTTTCCCTCACTCTACCCCCAATAAAATACCATGAAATACTCTCCAATCATTATGAATTTCCTCTCTCCGTATCTCTTGTTATTAAATGAACAATGATAACTGCATTATTTATCCATAAATGATCTTAATCATCTGAAAAAAATTCTCTAACAATTTTCACCAATATCATGCATGAAATGCCACCAGGACAATTTTTGAAAGGAAAATAAATCACAAACCTCCTTTAGTGGGATAAAGTCCAGGCTGGATAGGGCTGAGAATAGCATCAGGAGTATTTTTCTTGAGAATAGTAATCCTCTCTAAGCAAGTCTTAAAACTTGGCCTAGCCTCGGCCTCGCTCCAGCACCGCTGCATAAGGTCATAGAGCTGATCAGGGCAGTTGTCAGGCTGGGTCAGTCTCCCTCCATTCTTTACATACTGAAGGACCTCCTGATTACTCCTTGCAGCATACGGCTGCTGTCCGAGGGACGTAATCTCCCACATGAGTATTCCAAATGCCCAAACATCACTCTGACTCGTGAACACTCCATCGATCAAGGACTCAGGTGCCATCCAGCGAACAGGCAACAGGCCCTCCCCCTCCTTCCTGTAGTAATCATTCTTATAAATATCTCTGGCAAGTCCAAAGTCTCCAATTTTCACAACTCTATTTTCCCGATCCTGAGCAGACACCAAACAATTCCTACAGGCCAAATCCCGATGAACAAAATGCCGTTCCTCCAGATATCTGCAGCCCCTGGCAACATCCTCACACATTGCGAGTAAATCCTGAAGTTTCAGAGGCTCAAGTGGAGGATCAGGCGGAGGATTCCTCCTGCTGTTTCTCAAGTACGACAATAAATCCCCTGCCTCCATGAGTTCGAGGACGAGCTGAGGTCCATCGATGTCCTGGCAAACCCCCAGCAATCTCAAAACATTCTTATGTCTGAATTGACTCATAAGAATAGCCTCCTGAATGAACTCCGTCTTCTCTTGAGTGGAGGCTCCCTTCCTCAGGGTTTTAATAGCCACTGGAGTGACTCCCGGACCGTCGAGACCCTTGGCCTCTCCTTTGTGCACCTCACCGAAAGCTCCACTCCCCAAAAAGGCTATCCTGATGATTTGATCTCTACGGATTTTCGGGAGGGACTGGTCATCGTGCTCATTCTGCATCGATGAGGCATAAAGAGCATTCGATTGTACGAAATTACCTCGAGGGATTTCCCTGAGTGTTGCTAGCTCCACGTCAGAGACGATTGGAGGGAGAATTGTCTTTTTAACTTCTTTTCTCTGTTTGTTGTATAAACAGAGGAAGTAGCAGAAGCACAGGAGGACGATGGTCACGACAGGAACACTCAGACCGAGGACCAGCCCCAGGTGTTGCTGTCCTGCTACAGTCGTCCCAATGGTATCTGTCAGATCAATAACAGCACTGGCCTGACTCCATCCTCCAAATCCATAAGCATTTTCAGCTTGAACCCTAAAATTGTACTTGTGATTCATTTCCCCAACGATTATCCAGTAATTATCACTTCCATTGTAATAACCAGTCCACTGTTCGGTTTTTCCACGCTCTTCAGAATCCCCATAAATCCTCCCCTGGAGCCTGTACATCTTCACTGGAGAACCATGAGCCTGAGCGGGTTCCCAGTTGATCTGGTACACAGAAGTTCGAAGTTTCGTGACAGAGGGTACTCCAGGGGGACTGGGAACATCTCCGAGAGTTTGGAATGTGAATCTCCCGTCTGTTGGCCAGATGAAGTCCTGCTTGTGCTTGGGATACCGAAGAATCAATCTGAATTTGTAAAAAGTCTTGGAGAGAAGCCCTTTGATATGATAAACAGTTGTATTTCTCTGGATTTCATGGTAAGTGGCAATTTGCCATTTTTCTAACCCGACAGTGGTGAACTGAAGGCTGTAATTGCTTGTTAAATCAAGGGGCACCCAGGAGAGGTTCATGGCGTTGATACTGACGCCCACCAGTGTCAGATTATTCGGTTCTGGGTACATACTGACGACCTGGCCCTGGCTCTCACTCCAAATGTCTGAGGAATCAGCTGGATACGCCCTGACAATCACAACGTAATCCTGTCCGGGTATTAAGGGCTGAAGAGTGGTTGAGTACCTCCCAGCCGGCACCTCACTCTTGATTAACTGCTCACCCTTCTGACGTACCCCGTTCACCAGCTTCTGGGATCTCCAGTGAATCTCATATCTGACTGCAGCAGCATTCAGAATTTTCGGGGGAAGCCAAGAAACCGCAGCTAGTGTCGGGGTTAGTGCCTCCACAGTGACGTTCTCTGGTGCCGATGGGGCCCCAGGGGCTGTCCTCAGCATCACTGGGAAACCCGACTCAGGGTTTGAGGCCTCCAAGTCCCTATAATAATTGCTCAACCATAACGTGAATTGGTAGAAGGTGAAGGGTTTGAGATTCGTCACTTCGATCTCTCTCTGGTACGTGCGAATTTTTATCTTCTCGTTATCGCATATCATTTGGGCGTTGACCGTATCTTCTGTGCACTGAGACACGTAAATTTTGTACTGAACCCCTGGAAGATTCTGCCTCATGCAGCCTAAGTCTGATTTAGGCTTTGGAAGTCTGATTTTTATGCTATTAGCACTCTTGGACACTTCAGATACAGAGTAGGACATGGGATAAGGTTTTAAGCAGTTAAAATCGGGATACGGTTGGAGAGATTGACCAATGGCCTTGAGTCCTTTGATATTCGCCAGGTAGATTCGTTCGATCTTCTGCTCCTCCTGATAAGGATTGTTCTTCTTGACGAAGTGAATCTCGTCATCGGCCCAGTTGGACCAGTATATATTGATCTTGTCGGTGGAAAGGGATGAAGGAGGCAGTCCTCTGTTGAACCCTGGCTTGACCACCAGGTCACAGCCACATCCGTCGATCTCAGCAATATTGAGATTACCCTCCAAAGAGACCCAATACATCACTGGATTTTGGGGATCAGTGCTGTCCACTGTCATCACGTCCTTGATTAACGGTCTGTAGGGACACCTGCAGTCCTCGTTGTGGTTGAAGAAGGGTCTAACGTCCTCACCGGACAAATTGGACTGCATGATTATTCCGTGATTGCCCTCTGTTACCTCGATCCAGAAGAGATCTCCTGTCAGTGGAGATACCTCCAGATTGATTATTCTCCTCTCACTCGTGATAATCCTCTCGTAGATGAGACTCCCCCCCTCCCAGGCGTTCAAGTCCAGCTTCATTATCCTGCTTCCTCCGACTTTTCTGCGGGACTCTGCCCAGTAGAGATTCCGCGCAACCCAGTCGATGGCTAGACTCGACGCTGTTCCATTTAACGGCATAATCTTCGTGGCATTTCTGCCTTTGGGATCCGCTGTCACAATCTCCTGCATCTCGTTTATCCAGTAGAGCTTCTTCTCAGCTGTTATGTACCTCACTTCCACAGCGATGTGTATCGTAAGGGTTTCGTTGGTCCCTACGTCGAGGTCTGCTAATTTCACTGAGTCTGCAGTGGCAACGAGAAGTTGTGGTACTGGATGCTCGATTTCAGTTGAAATTTCGATGACATCGGAGAAGGGACCTGGCCCGATCTCAGTGAATGCTTGAACTTCAAAAAAATATGTTGTCTTTGATTTCAAATTGTAGGATATATATTCCCTAGTGTTGTGCCCCACCTGAACACCCTGGCACACGTGAATCTCAATGCCATTAGCCATGAACCAGCACTTGAGAGAGTAGCCCTTGATGATACCGTTCGGAAACTCCGGGGGATTCCACCTGAACGTCGCAAAAATATTGACTTCGTCGATGGTGGGGGCCTTGTAGTGCTCGACAAATGCCCTGACGTTGGTGGGTTGGCTCGGTACACTCTGGGGAGATCTCAACATTTTTATGGAAAGCGGGGCCGTTCCCCAGTACGTAAATGCCTTGACAGTGACCTCCAGGATAGAGAAAGGAAGGATCTGATCTGAATTGTTATAGGGTAATGTTGTCTCCGTTGTTAGATCAGGATGGGAGTTTGTATTGATATAATCCGTAAATTTGACCTCATAGAAGACAGTTCCATAGTTGATATTGGTAACGGGTTCCCAGGAGACGCTGAAGTTTCTCCAAGTGCCCTCTACTCTTATACTGTCCAGTGCAACAGCCTTTGGAATCACCGAGATAGTTTCTGATGTAAGGTTCTCCGGGTACTGATAAAGGGCTGGATCCACCACAGCCACCATGTGAAGTCCTATCAAGCTGATGCCATTGATCACTGCTGTATTCTGCCCAGTGAGATCCCCGATGACAGCGTTTCGATCGTCCTGGAGCCAAAGGAGATGTTCCGAGAAATAGCACAAGGGGCCCTGCATGTTGGGATGCTGCAAAGTGGAAACCTTCGCTGGCACGATTCTCTGGCTCATGGGTATCTTCTCCGAAGTGGGGGCCCGATACACTATCGAGCCACTCTCATAACTCCGGACTATCCAGTAGACATAACGATTTTCAGTGTCTAGGGTAAGACCCATTACTTGTTTACCATTGAAAATCTCGTCTGAGTGGTAGTATCTCCTGTCCAAGCCATTCAGTCTAGCCACCTCAACAGCATGCCCCGTTGACCAGTAGAGATAAGCCTCTTGGGAATCGATGATGAGCTCCTTGACGATCGCCAGAATGGACATGGGCTCCTGCTGAGTCCCATTGAGATTGGCCCTCGTAATAATTTGCTGCTTCGGGTTGGCCCAGTATAGTTTCTTGGCTATCCAATCCACAGCTACACTCCCCACTGAATTTATATTGAACTTGGTTTTCTGATGACTAGTTATATTATATTTGTACAACGCCGAATTATTTCCAACGATGTACAAAATATCCTTGTACCAGCTGACGTCAACGATATGATACTCACTATCAAAGTCCCTGAGACTCTCCCTGTGAATCAGCGTCTGGACGTTTTCCCCAGTGACATCGCTCTTGAGGAACCCCTCGTCGGCAGACCAGAGGATCGAGGCGTGGGAATTTTCGCTGAGGGTTTTTCCGCGGAACTCCGAGGACCAGGGTCCCCTGCCGGCTTTGGTATAGGCAGCAGCTTTTATTGTGTATTCGGATTTCTCCCGAAGGTTCTTGACAGTGTGCGAAGAGGCTGCAATATGGCGTTGGCGAATGGTATGACCGGTACTCTCGTCCTTAATCTCGAGCTCGTACGACCAGTTCTGCCAGGCTCCCTTTCCCTGTCCTCCTAGAAGATGGGGTGCCTGCCAGGAGACCTTTGCTCTTTCAGCGCCCAGAACTGCCTGAACTCCAGTCGGTGGATTCACTGGGACTGGGATCGGCTGACTGGCATTCATGAGAACACTGACACTGACGAAAGAACCGTCCGATCTATCTGGATACGCATTGTGGAAGTAAAGCTTTTGGCCTTCGTGATAGCCCTCTGTGAGGACTTCCTTACCGTTTGTCCAGTAGAAAAGACCATTGGCCATCGCCAGGGACAGAACATTCTTGAATTTCGGTTGTTGAGTGTTCGTTCGCAGATTGAGGGTCTCCCGTCCGTCCAGGGACACCGAAATTACAGTATTTTTCGTCTGATCAGGTACCAAAAGTCGAAAATTGGTATGGTCGACTGTGAAGGCCCCTAGATGCCTGTCCTCCAACATCAGGTAGGGCTGGACTTCGTGTTTTATTCCGTTACTGATGTCGGCCAGGTCTAGCCGGAATAATCCAGCCCTCGTCATCCAAAAGAGGTAGCCATTGTACGGGTCCACCTCGATGTGCGTGGGTTTTGTCATGAAACCTGCCTTTGCCACTGTCAAACCCTTGCCATCCAGGGCACACCTCGCTATCTGCCAAACGGTCGTTGCATGGTTAACTTCACCGACGATATACAAATGCGAGTTTAGCCAGTCAACTGAGAGGCTCAGGGGCTTGAAATTCGATTGATCTGGTCTGAGAATTACTCGCGGCTCTTCCGTTTCGAATATCGAGGTACGGTAGACGTAACCCATTGAGTCTGATATGAATACTTGAGCTGAACCCACATGAATTGCCACTCCCCGAATTTTACTCGTTGCTCGGTATATCACACTGGGTTCATCTAGCATGTCTGCACCTTGTTTCAGGACTACGTGCTCACCACCCAAGATGAGAATCGGTAGTTGAGTGTCTTTTACTAAAAGGAAAGAGAATGTACAGTAGCTGAACAATTGGCTGATTCTCAGAGTATTATTCAACAAAATTCATCCCCATCTGCGCGGTAAATATGTGAGATCAGCTATTGGTTGATGAAAAATTTCGATTTATGAAATAAATCCTATTCTTCCCCCGAAGATTAATAAAGATTAATGAAAAAAATCGATTTCTGTTAATATAGTCATAAACTATAAACGTGTTGATTGTAAAGTCTCATTTATCTCATTACTCAAGAAGGATTTTAACTGAAGAACTATAATCGATTATAAGCCGATTTCTTCTAAACATTTTCCACATCGCATGTTCTATGTTTGCCATCGTTTATTTTTTTAAAAACCTACATGTCTAGACACCCGATTCTTCCAAACGTATATTTTTAATCATACCAGCTGGTTCCGGTGGTGTAGTAATGTAAAGAACTGCCGGTGGTCCATCACCAATAGCATTCCTCATAGAAACACTGACCGAGTAATTTTGATTGGGCTTCAAATTTTGGAACATGTAGTGATCAGTGTTGTCGCTCGCTGCAATATCCTAGATTGCATAAAAGAAAAATTATAGCTTTCTGTGAAAACTAAATTCACCGATGTATTTTTCTGACGCATTCTGCATTATCCCCTGTTAGAAGTAAATACGAAGGGCAGAAACGCCATGCCAGAAACGAGTGAGCAACTTGTCTGGTTCGGTAGTGTCTGTATTAGTGCATTAAATCCAATAAAAATAACAGCCAGACACATGCAAAGCAATGCACAACTAGACAGCATTAAATTAAATAATTGACAAAGCAGATTACCGAACCAGCATTCAGCGTCTCAATGAATAGACTAAATTAAATTAATAAACGTGTGCAGCAAAAGAGTGTATTAACAGCGAGAAGTGCGAAATAGTGAACTGAGAAATACATGAATGACTACTTCAGGCGCTACAAGAGAAAGTCGAGAATATAACGATTAATCGTCTTTAATTTTTCTGGCGTGGCGTATACCTTGTTAAGGGAGTCGTTGTTAGCCCCTTGTAATTGCAATACATAGGATAATAATGGGCCATTGGGAAATGGGCCAGGCTCCCATGATACAGAGACACGGTAACTGTCTACTGCTGCTGCTCTTACAATTACTGGTGCTGAGGTTGGTCTACCAGCTGCCAATGTCAATATAACAACACTTGGAGCTGATACTATCGGCTCAGGATTGTGCTGGGATGATTTCAATAGCAGTGCTACGCGAAACTGAAATCAAAATAAATCAATAAAATAAATAATCAATGACTGTTATAAGATTATCATTCCTCCATGGACCGTTAATTCTTTTTAGGAGAGAGCCAATGACTCGATTTGAAGACCTAGGGAATTCGCTGTTTCATTTCCTTATAAAATTTTGGTTAAAAATGTATTGACAGAAATTGTGTAGAAAAATCGAAATGACGCTGGAAGTGTCGAACAGTATTGGGAATAACTCACTCTGTATTTGGTGTAGGGTTGAAGATTCTCGACTAGGATCTGGTCATCTTCTCCCCAGGATTGATTTCGACAGTACTGCCAAGTTTCCGCTAGCTCCTCGTATCTCCATTGCACCAAGTACGAAATTCCAATGGCGCGTCTTTTGATATTGACGCCTTTCCACTCGAGTCGCAAGGAAGTCGCTGTCAATGAGTCGGCAACGAGAGCTGGAGCCGGTGGAACGCCAATTTCCACTGTAAAAGTAATAAAGCATCGCGTGTCCTTTATTCCGCACTTCCTGTTTTCTCGAAAATATACTCCACTACTCTCTCCACTGGATCACTTCAAGACCTTCAGGCTTCCGCCAATTACTCCAATTTTGATCCCTATTGCAAAAAGGATCGAAGAAGTACAGACAGGTCAACTCGCAAACTATCGATTTATCGCAAGTATGTCACTAGTCTTAGTGAATTCATAGTTGAATTCAGAATTTATTTAACTTTTCTATCAATGATTTTCAATCATGATTTTTATAATGACGAATTGAATTAATCAATTAAGTGAGCGCTAGAGGCATTGAAGGGATGAATGAGCAGAATCAATATTGATTCAGCAAGCGAACAGTTGGATGGTCTCAATGGAAATAAATCAATTGAAAAGGCTGAACCTGATTGATTAATTCGATGGTCTCCAGACACTTGTTAGCGAGTGGGTAGATCCCTCACTACCACCAATTTCCGCTACATAAACATGAAACAAAGAGTCTCGTTGCAGCATTTCTCATTTTTATCGTAAAAACACACAATGTACCCGTTAACAACATATCTCGCACTCCTATCATTTTGAGGAAACGATTCATCAGTATAATTGCGTGCGCGGTGTGGCCTTAACAAGATAAATGATTTCACCTACTCCAATCCCAAATGACTCGAGCGGTGACACACTCTCAATTTTTTCCGTATCCCAGCATAACAATACACTATCATTCCCCCAATCCGATCAAGTGGCTGTATTCATGTTTAATCAGATAAATTAGAAAATTTCATCGTCATGAGATCAAGTGCGCGAGCCAATGATATACCTAAGACTGGAGGCAATTCTCCAGATAAAGGATCAATTTCTGGCCGAAAATCAAGTTTTCGCGAGTACCAAGGCATTCTGGATGGAATGAAGGTATCCTTCAACAAAAGATGGAAAGTCAGCAAACACAAAAAGGGAAATGAAGTCTTCGAGGACTTTGAGAGGCTGCGAACACTGGGCACTGGTGCATTTGGAAGGGTTTTGCTGGTGAAATACAAACCCACGTCTCAATATTACGCTATGAAGATTCTGGTGAAAGAAAAAATTGTGAAAACAAAACAGGTTGAGCACACACTGAACGAGAAGAAAGTGTTGTACGCGATAAAGTATCCTTTTGTCGTCTCCATGGAGTTCTTCTTCATGGACAATACATTCGTGTACATAGTATTGCCATTCGTAAACGGTGGAGAGATGTTCACACATCTGAGAAAAATGGGAAAGTTCGAGGAGAAGTTGTCGCAGTTTTACGCTGCCCAAGTGACATTGGCTTTGGAGTATTTGCATCACTGTGGCCTCGTTTATCGAGATCTCAAACCCGAGAATATACTTCTGGATCAGGATGGCTACCTCAAGCTGACGGACTTTGGTTTCTGCAAGATGATTGAGGGAAGGACGTGGACACTCTGCGGTACACCGGAGTATCTGGCACCGGAAATTATTCTATCCAAGGGATATGGAAAATCCTGCGACTGGTGGAGCTTTGGGGTTCTCATCTACGAGATGAATGCTGGATATGCGCCGTTTTACTCGCACGATCCCATGAGGATTTACGAGAAAATAGTCTCAGGAAAGTTCAAGTGCCCTAGCCACTTCAGTGACGAGTTGAGAGATATTCTCAAGCATATCCTTCAGGTAGACCTCACCAGACGCTATGGAAACCTGAAGGATGGCCCCCTGGACATTAAACGACACTTGTGGTTTCGGAGAACAAGCTGGGATCATATTTACAACCGGAAAGTTGAGCCCTCTCACGTTCCAAAGTGCAAAAGTCCTGGAGATGACAGCAACTTTGATCGGTACGACGAGGAGGAGATTATTGTTGGATCTGTCGATAATTTTGCAGAGGAGTTTGCTGATTTTTGAGTTTGTTTATATTTTTCTTACCTTTGAGCTGCTGAAAGTAGCGGTTGAGCGCATCGTGACACCCCAGGACGCAGTAGAGCTCCTTCGGAGGCAACAGCTCTTGTGTACCATTCTATATGAATAATTGACATGACATTAATAATGAATTGAGTCTTTAATGAGAGACATATTTATTACCTATTGTAATAAATATAATTTTAAGTACTCACGCAAATTGACTGACAACTTGTCTCGAGTGCCTGTTCCCATGCTGCACAACCCTTCGTGCACTTGAATTGAGAAACAAAAGGATTTAATTAGTCGTCTTCAAGGGGATAATTACAATGATCTATTTTAGAATTTGGAGGATTGAAATGACGGGAGGATTTTATTAATGCCAAAGCAGCTGAAGACGACGCAGAATTTCATCGACTGTCTTGTATTATCCCCCAAGACGTTAAATGATGGATGACATCGTTTGCCCCAACTTCAGTCCTCTCTCTCTCTATTCACTTCCGTACTTTAGAAATCCCGATACAGACATTTCATCGTCGTCCCATTGTTCAAGTTATTTCTGTTCTTCAGACACTTTTTTTTCTCTCACTGCCTTCTCAACTTCCTCCGCGGCGAAAAATTTATTGTATCTGAAATTTATTCACCGGATCGTCTAGTAATCGTGTGGACTCTTCTAAAATTTTGCCTGATACTTAACGTAAAGCAATTGACAATTTTTAATTAACTTGACATTCATATGCCATTTTCAAGATGAAATGTTTTTTGCACGATGTCATCTTTCATTGAATTGAACCCTTACTATGGATGCTTGCCGTTTTCTTTATCGGAATGTCGCGGTGAAAATTATGTGAGTTAAAGTAAATTCAATTGTGAATTAATCCTCGTGTACCAACATGACCACAATGACGCCACTACCGAGTCTTGCAAGTTATGAACCCCTCCGTGGCTCATTCAACTAGACAACGAGGAATTTCTAGACGAATTACTTACGTAGGAGTTAATCCGTTCTTTCCATCAACTCAAAGAGATTCATCCTCGCATATTTTTGAAAATATGTGAAAAGGTCGTGTGAGGGTGGAAAATAAAAATATGGGGACAATAAGGTGCCTCGATAGTGTCCGGAAATAAATACCACGAAATAACACGGTCGTGCTATATAATGACCGGATCGTGACATAATTCATTCGAGTTAGCCGCAAATGAAAGTATAATTTTTTAAGAAGCTACCCGTCGGTTACAACCGAGTGTACCAACCAGTCATGCTGGCACGTGCCTTGAGGGGGTATTATAACGCCTACGTTCATAAGAAACGCTACATCTTTTTAACTAACACATTAAACATGATAACGTTAAACCATTCACGTATGTTACACGGATTTGCGAATAGCAATTGGATCGATGTGGACGTGAGGAAGTCGATGGTTATCAATTTTTAACAGCTGAATTTATTGTTTCATGAAATAAAATAATTAAGAAAAAATTACGGACATTCTCTCAATTTTTCTTCACACTCTCCTTTTTTTTTTATTTCCCGCAAATTAGTGGTGAGGAATATTAAGAGTTCAGGTTGAGGCAAGATTATTCAATTTATAATTATTGCTTTTTACCGTTTGCCAACAGAATATTAAAAAGCTTAAAAATTAAAAAGCACTGATACTTGGAAAAATAAGTAGAAAAAATTCTCTGGTTGATAAATTTCTATTTACAAAATACAAGAGGGTGAAGTCTGATTGTTTATGGAGTTCCTACAATTGTGTGATGTAATCAGAGAAAAACAGAGTGCAAGTGTTGAAAGGAGTGTTGACTTTGAATTGGTGCAGAAGCACTTGTTGAATGCTCGAGTGGTCCTGAGGACACGCCTCAGTTAGACAAGTACATCTTAACATTCACCATTCTTCGTCTAGACTAAATACTTTTTCTGTTGATTGGCGCCAGTAAGTAGGATTATTTAAATAAACAAATGCGTAGATTTCATTGGTATGTAGCCAACGAGACATTTGGTTCCTCTGCTATCTGTCCCGAGAGCGCGTTGATCTCCGGGGGTATCGCTCCAGGTCAAAACCGAGTGTCGAGTTGACCGCGGAAAACCGAAGCTGATAAACAAGTACCAATAAATTATTTTTGGTAGTGCTAGTTTTTAGACGACACGCTAGAAAGATATTCTGGGAGTGTGATAATGATAACGCGAGGGCAGAGAAGAAGAGGAAAAAACGTTAGACATCCAGTGATAGATGCGTGATGGTGAAAAATAATGAAAAATAAAGTGAACGGGTTAAAATATGGGGGAAAATATGACACGAGGATTTGTCTCTCTCCTTCTATCCGTTAATTTCTCACTTCCTCATTAAATCCTCGACGATTTTATGCCCTCACCAGCAGCTTCCTGTTATCCCATGTATACATCTTCATTATTACATAAATTTTGGAAATTTTGTGAACGACTTATGGTTGTTCCTCTTTTACAAGTTCAACTAAACGGAATGAACTTTTTTGCACTTTGTTTACTCTGTGACTCATTAAAATTACATAACAGTTGAATATTCGAGGACTTAGATAAATATGATTAGATGATGCTTTCGATAATTTAGGAAGTACTTGTGGTCTAAGGCGATTGACTGATCAATTTTTCTATCATTTGAGTAGATGAAAGCAATAAAGTTTTCAGATCTATTTCTGTCGAGACATCTGTATCAGTACCAATATCACACGACAGAGCTCAATGATTATTAAATCAGGTCGTAGATCCTCCCATCAAGACGAGATTGCAATCTGAGATGAAATGACAGCCCTCCCCCTTGCCCATTCAATAATTAGTTTCATTAATGCCATCCACTAATTGCTACTCATCCCAATTTCCCCCGTTTTTCTCTATTTTTTTTCCCGTCAGTGTTTGTAGTTTCAAATGTTGTATTTTCGTCCCAACTTCCGCACACATCAAGTCAGAATCCGGGGTCGCACGTCAATTTGATGACATCCGTTAAAGGCAACACTTGTACGCGATCCAATTTAAAAGTCACGAAGCCCCAACTATGTTACCGTGGACTATTCTTTATCATCGGTACATTACACTACTTGTTTCAGTGGTGTTTGTTTTCATTTGTTGCTCTCTAGTGTCCCTCCCTCTCCCGCCGACACTTTTTTTTTCAGCGGCGATTGAACCACCCCTTGAAATCAACCGGAAGTACAGTCATTAGCACCGAGGGACTCCGGTTTGTACTTTCC